CCCAGCCCCTGTAACCATGACAACCACTCCTCATTTCTACAGTGTTTCAGTCACTCCAGACAGGCCAAAGATGAATTACAAATCATGAGAAAAAAAAGACATCTCTTGGTGAAGAACATTCTTACATGTGTAACAACAGCAGCAGCATCAGCCACAAATCCTGAAGTCACGCTGGGCCAACAATTAGTGACATTAGAAATGTACTGCAGAAGATGATGGACATTTTATTATTTTAGAGAAACATGAAGTTACCAGTTTCCTCAGAGCATCCTTGAGCTCCTGGTTCCTCATGCTGTAGATCAGGGGGTTCATTGCTGGAGGAACCACTGAGTATAGAGCTGACATCACCAGGTCCAGCAATGGGGAGGAGATGGAGGTAGGCTTCAGGTAGGCAAAGATGCCAGTGCTGAGAAACAGGGAGACCACGGCCAGGTGAGGGAGGCAGGTGGAAAAGGCTTTGTGCCGTCCCTGCTCCAAGGGCATCCTCAGCACCGCCCTGAAGATCTCCACATAGGACAACACAATGAAAACAAAACAGCCAGACAGTAAAGAGGCACTGAAAACAATAAGCCCAAGTTCCCTGCGGGAGAACTGTGAGCAGGAGAGCTTGAGGATCTCGGGCACTTCACAGAAGAACTGGTCCAGGGCATTGCCTCTGCAGAGGGGCAGGGAAAATGTATTGGCCGTGTGCAGCAGAGCATAGAGGAACCCACTGGCCCAGGCAGCTGCTGCCATGTGGACACAAGCTCTGCTGCCCAGGAGGGTCCCGTAGTGCAGGGGCTTGCAGATGGCAACGTAGCGATCGTAGGACATGATAGTGAGAAGAAAATACTCTGCTCCAAGGAGGAAAAAAAGCAGAAAGACCTGTGCAACACACCCTGAGTAAGAGATGTCCCTGGTGCCCCAGAGGGAATTGGCCATGGCTTTGGGGACAGTGGTGGAGATGGAGCCCAGGTCAAGAACAGCGAGGTTGAGGAGGAAGAAGAACATGGGAGTGTGGAGGTGGTGGTCCCAGGCTATGGTGGTGATGATGAGGCCGTTGCCCAGGAGGGCAGCCAGGTAGATGCCCAGGAAGAGCCAGAAGTGCAAGAGCTGCAGCTCCCGTCTGTCTGCGAAGGCCAGGAGGAGGAACTCAGTTGTGGAGCTGCTGTTTCGTTCACGAGGCCCTGCAGCAGGAGCAAAGCACACTCACAGGTTAGGTCTACTTTGAAAAAATCTCTTTGATTCCATTCCCCCCGCAAAAATACTATCTGTCCCCTTCCTTTCAGCACCTTCTTACATCTCCTTGGCTTGTGGTCAGGTCTGTGCTGGCCAAATGTGCCATCAGGAGCAGGGCTCTGACCATGAGCTCCCAAGGAGTAATCCTGGCTCTACAGCAGCAGGCACCCTGGGGAAAATGCTCACAGCTTCTGAAATTCACCATTTCCCTGCTTTCTTCTCCACCTGGAATGAAGAGGAGCTGCCCAGCATCTGCCTGCAGAAGAAGCCCTGCTGAAACTCCTGGAGCAGCCCAAACTGGAGTGCCAGGAGCAGACAGGTCACTCCCCAGCCTCACACCCCGCACTGGCCAGATCAC